CCCTCTATGAAAAAGTTGCCCCTTGGGTTCCTTTTAATTCTTGCCCCTCTCACTTTAAACCTATGCCCTCTAGTTTTGAGCTCCCCTACACTTGGAAAAAGACCTTGGCTATTCACATTATCTGTGTCCCTCATGACTTTATGAACCTCTATAAGGTTGCGCCTCGGCCTCTGACGCTCCAAGGAAAAAATTCTGGGGTATCCTGATTTATAGGCATTCAACTTAGAAATGCTCGTACTTACAATTATAATCCCATACAGGGGTATAATTTTAAATATTTGACATACAAACACTTCCTGTACTTAAAAACAGCTGCTTTTTATTGTCCTGATTTGTGTTCCAACTTGTGCACAAATTAACTTGTGAACGAATGTAACCTTTTCGCAACCCGGACACTACCTCTACAAAATAGTGGGGTGTATGCTTCAAATCTACTGGGCACTGGTGAAAGCTTGCAAGTGCATTGGAAGCAGTTTAAGAGAACTTTGACTTGACTAATACCTGGAATGGATAGGTTGCTTTCCCTGGAAAGATTGGAAAAGCTAGAATTGTATCTGCTCAAGTTCAGAAGAGGAAGGAGCAATTTGAGTTAAATGTATAAAAGCCTAAGGGGTCTTGATAGGGTGCACGTGGAAGACATGTTTCCTCTTGTGGTATAATGCAAAAGTAGGCAATCACTAAATTCAAAACAAAGGATCACCTGTAAGACAGAGAAATAGTTATTCTATCTCTGAGGTCATAACTCTGGAAAAGTAATCTTTGAATATTTTTAATGCAGTAGACTTTTCATAGGCAAGGGTATGAAAAATTATCAGAGGTAAGGGGAAATGTGGAGTAATCACATTAGCCATGATCCTTTTTGAGTGGTGGAGCAGATTCCAGGGACTGAGTGGCATACACTTTTTTTTTCTAAGTCCTATGTTTTTATGTTCAAAAGTAGATAATTAGCTGTAAAGTGATTTGGGACACCCTGAGGCAATGAAAATTTGTGTGAAAATGTAAATTTGTTCTTGCAACAACTCAGAAATATAGCTATGATACTATCACTTATTAGGTAAACATATGATGACCAACTAAAAATGAGTTTATTAAAATATATTTTTGTGCTTTTGAAGTAAAAATTTACACCAAATGTCCTGTTCACCATTGTTGAATATTCAAGACAAAAACGTGAAAGCTTAGTATAATATATTCTGACTATGGGTGAATTATGTGATATATTTACTTTCCAAAAGATGTTCTGGTAGACACCTGCAATTATTAATAAGCTTGCAATAATGTTATCGCAGTTGTTAACCTTTTGCACGGAATGTAAGCCTGCAGTAATGTTATTGTGATTGACGTTCACGACACTAGAAATCCTTTCTTTTTCTCTGTCTCTAAAACCAGCATAAAGATATACAGGTACTCCCAATTTACTTCAGCATAATTTGAAATTTAAAGCCTCTGCCAGGGCCTGTGCAGTTTTCTATATTGCAATGCTGGTGACCTATCCAACTGCTTCAAAGTGGATTTCATGTCAGAAATGAAAAACCTGTCTTGGATAAAATTTCTTTTCATTCATTCATGGGATGTGTATGTCACTGGCTAGGCAAACATTTGTTGCCCAATTTCAATGTCCTTGAGAGGGTAGTGGTGAGTTGCTTTCTTGAACCACTACAGTTGAAGTAGTGTAGGTGCACCCATAATGCTGTTAGCAGGGAGTTGTAGAATTTCGACAGCAACAATGAAGGTTTGACAATTCAGTTTCAATCTGGTTGATGTGTGGTTTGGATAGGACAATGTTTCCATGTATCTGGTGACTAAGGCCACAGGTTTGGAAGGTCAAGGAACCTTGGTGAGCTATATACTTCTGCCTATATGCTAAGTAATCAAGTGGGTAAGTATGTACTGTGGTGGATAGGGTGCCAATCAAGCAGGCTGCTTTGTCCTGGATGCTGTTGAGGTTCTTGAGTGCTGTTGGAGCTGCACACATTCAGGCAACTGGAGAGTGTTCTATTATACACCTGACTTGTATTGTGTCAATAGTGCACAGGAGGTGCATTACTCACCACAGTGTTCCTTGTCTTTGACTTGTTTCTGTAGCCACAGTGTTTATATGTCTGATTCAATTCAGTTTTTGGTTTATTTTTGATAAGCAAGCTGTTATTAATGACCTCCACAGAGCTCTGTGCTGGAGCCTCAACATTTAAAAATTACATCATCAATAACTTAGGTGCGGGGAGTGAAGGCATTGTAGCTAAATTCACAGTTAATGCCAAAATAGGTAGGAAAGTATTTTGTGAAGGAGACATGAAGTTACAGATGATTATAGATAGGTTGAGTGATTGGGCAAAAATCTGGTAGATGGATTATAATGAGAGAAAATGTGATGTTTGCTTTGGCGGGAGAATAAAAATATAGGTTATTACTTGAATGAAAAAAGACTGCACGATTCCAGTGTGCAGAGGAGTGCAGGAGTTACAAAACAGTAGTACTCAGGCACAGCAGGTAATCATGAAGGCTAATGGGATGTTACCCTTTATTATGAGAGGAATTGATCATAATTAAAATTCTGAAAAAGTCATATTGGACTAAAAATGTTAACTTATTTGTCACCCTGCAGATGCGGATAACCTGACTAAATTTTTCCAGCACTTTGTTTTTTGCTGCCCCTCTTAGTTGTTTAATTGTCTACCACCAGTCGTGATAGCATGTGTCAGGACTGCAGAGCCTAGGTCAAATCTGTGGGTTTCAAAATTGCTTAACTCTGTTTAGTGTATGCTGTTCTGCTATTTGGCATATGTTGTAGCTTCACCAGGTTGACACTTCATGTCTAGGTATGCCTGTTGTTGTTTCTGGCTGATGCATTTACATCTGCCTGCAACTACCTTATGTCGTCTTCAAAAAATTATTCTGACCTATCTTGGTGTCATCTGTACACTTACTTGAAGTAAGATTGATTCCCAGCTTGATGGTAATGCGAGAGTGGTAAATGTGCCAGGCAGTAATGCTTCAGATTGTGATTGAGCCCAATCCTGCTGCTGCTGATTGTCTATGGCATCTTATGAATGCACAGTTTTGAGTTGCAAGGTCTTAATGAAATTTGTCCCATTTAGGACAGTGGTGGTGCCACTTAACAGAATGGAAGGCATCCTCAATGTTTCCATCATGATTGTGCAATAGTCACTCCATCCAATACTGTCATGGACAGGTACATCTGTGACATATAAATTAGTGACGACAAGGTCAAGTAGGTTGCTCCTTATATAAAATACAGAACTGCAGGTGCTGGTGATCTGTAACAAAAACAGAAAGTGCTGCAGAAACTCAGCAGAGCTGACAGCATCTGTGGAGAGAAGAACAGAGTTAATGTTGCAAATCCAGTGACCCTCCTTCGACATGATTCTTAGCAACGTGAAGTAGTATTTTGACATTTACTGAACTCCTCCATAAGGAAGGTTATTCGTTGTTTCAATTTTTATTTTATCTTTGTTATTTTTGTATCTTGTGCTTTTTGCATATCATTTAGCATTGTTGTTGACTGAAATATTCTGCAAATGTAGTAAAGATGTACAGAAAATTTCAAATTCTCAAATGAGACCTTTAGTCTCCAAGTAAATCAACAATTAATTACCTAAGTAAACAATTAAATTCCTTGCTTTTATGAGGACACGTGTCTTCTTCAATGCAAGTGGTGCCGATGTATGAGTATACAGTACATTTTAAATTTCGGCATCCAATGTAGAATAACCACTCGCAAGTGCATGAGGGATTACTTGGAGGGTAATGCTCTCTGTACCTCAAAAATGTGCATAAACCGCAATCCTAGAAAACTGCCTAATCAAGTACTACTGCATTGCAACTGCACAAGTTCATTTTATGGCCTTTCCATGATATTGCCTATTTTTGTTGTATTGTAGACTACTGAGAGATTGTACCTGCTAAAAGCAAAATTATCTGTTTCACACAGGATGCTTGCATTCCTTTAATCCTAGCTAGGTTCAAAATCGGCTCCTAAAAACGAATAGGACAGTTCATGTACGACTTTATCACCAATGTCCCTAATTATTTAAAATTAATATATTCCCTTACAAGACAATCTCTCTTTCTAAATGTGCTGTAAATACAGTGTCACTTCATTTACATCTCAGGACTTTACTTTAATTATGAGAACAAAAGAGAATGTTTCATAGTGGTAACTTCTTAAGAAAGAATTTGCATAACTCGTTACTTCAGATCATGTCTGGCAAAGATAATATTCTCTAAGGAATGATTGTGTGTTAACTTCACAGCATTTACTGTGGCAAATATTGAACTTTCTCATGCAACTGTTGCCCAAGACAATCCATCCAGTTCTCTGGGTCCATTTTTGTTCATTCTGTGCTATTAATTAAATGCCTTTTTCAAACTAAAAATACCAGTTTTGTAGTCATACCTTTACTCTGGTAGGATATTTCAATGATGACAAATTGAGATTAAGTAGCTATCTCTGATTGTAATTTTATTTCAGTTAATAGAGTTAGAAGTCAAAGATGTTGACAGAGGGAGATCATAAGACATGTTAGTATCTTCGGTTTTTCCATCCAATAAAACTACCTGTAATGTATTTTGTGGGTACATGCAGAAAACATATAATTTATAATTTATCCCATCTTGCGTAGGTGTACCTTTCAAATACAGTTTGGCAGTGAATCATGTACCACTGTTCTAGTATTTGGCAAGTTAGCTGATTTTATTTCTCCAGATGATACAGTTGCGTTTAATGTCCTTCAGTTGGAAAGATGAAAAGTCAGTTAAAGTTTCAATCCCTGAGTGCTCTTTGGGGACATCTGCCAACTATGTGTGAAAGGGAATTAAGTCTCATAGCAACAGCTACTGGATGTTTCATCAAAAAAACAATCATTCTATAATTGCTTTTAGAACAGAGGCAAGAAGGGAGAGAATTAGAATAGTAGTACAAACTTGGAAGCTTGTAAGTATTTTTGTAAACCTTGACCTTTGCTTTTTTCCTTTTACAGATGTTTTTGTAGCTGGGAAGCCCTGTGATTGTGATGTAGTGGTAGAGTGTCAGGCCGGTGACCCAACACCCCTGGAAGTGAAGCTGACCAATCAGAGCAAGGGCACAGTCGGTCCTTTTGCCCTCACTGTCATTCCATACCAGGACTATCAAAACGGCGTCCATAACAATGATCTTGGGAATGCTGTTACTTCAATTGGATCGAATACATTCTACATAGATGCGGTAAGTAGACCATCTCTAAATTATAATGCACTGTGTGTTTTCTGTGTAACTACCAGGAAGGATGTGGTTTATTAATAATAACAGCAACTTTCATTTGTATGGTATTCCTGGGCATTTTGCAGGAGAATTATAAACATAATTATGGCACAATGTCTCATAATGAGATAACTGGTCCGATGACCCAAGGCCTAATCAACAGGGTGATGTCTCCGAAATGTTTAGTAAATTTAAGCAAATAATTCCTATACCTGTAACAAAATAAAGATGAACTTTATTGGACCAAGAAGCAAATAAGCATTGTATGCCTTATGGCAATGTCAGATCCGATATTCAGGGGGGTTAAATTTACCTTGAGCAAAGAGGCAACTTGGGTGATGGTTCGTTAACTTCCCACTTTACATGTATTGATTTTGATTTTTATTGAAGAAAAAATGCACAGGCAGGTTTATAATCTGCTGCTGATCAGCTGGCGTCATTTATAGGTTACACACAAGGTGGATTTCACCTCCAGAATCTCTCTTACTGTTTGACCAAAGATGAAAGCTTCAAATAGTTATTTTCTGCTGCAACTCATTGTAGGACATAACATAATGTCAAAGTAAATTACTGATTTAAGAAAAAAAATCTAAAATTGTCATTTTGTATAACTTCAACAAGTAATTGAAAATCTTAGTGTAGACTTCTTGAATGTTGTACAGCATAAAGGTCTTAAAATGGTTCTGAAATGTGGGATTATTGATCAGGATTAAACTTTGATCAAGGCCTAAACTTGACACTTAAAGCAAAATTCTTTACATTCAGAGTGACTGAATGAAATATTTAATTCTTACAGAGGGTACAGAAGAAATTTGAGAAAGTGATTCCAGGGATGAAAGGTGTCAATTATGTGGAAAGACTGAAGAAACCAGGGTTGTTTTCCTGAGAGCAGAAAGAATTGAGAAAATTGTTAAAGAATTGCTACGATCTGGAATTCACTGTCTGAAAAGGTTGTAGAATCAGACTAAATGGTAAATGTAAAGAGAATTAGATAAATACTTGAGGTGCAAGATATGAGGGTTTATAAGAAGAGCAGGAGAGTGAGTTTGGTTGAAAATCTCAATCAAAGAGCGCACTCAGGCTTTTTTAAAATTCATTCATGGTATGTGGATGTCACTGGCAAGGCCAACATTTATTGCCCATCTCTGGTTTTGAGTACTTGGTGAAGAGCTGCTGCCTTGAACTACCACAGTACATTGGTATAGGTAAACATGCATTGCCGTTTGACATATAATGGTCTGCATCTACTATTGTGCAGTTCACTCTGATTTTGTTCTGTAATTGGCATTTTTCGTAGCGACTAATTAACTTCTTGCACAGTTGACCAAAACATGGGAAAAGATATTGCTTTAAAACAAGCAATCTGGAAGATAATTTTGTGGATTTTAAAACAAGTTACTGGAACTCGTTGTGATTTGTATCTACAGTGTTGCTTTGTTTGAGTAGTGAGGAAGATGTTAAACACATCAAGTGTGTGTATGTGTTCATGTTCACGTTCACGTTCATGTTCGTCCTTGAATTAGTTTTTCAATTGACCACTTGTGGGCTCATGACTGTTCAGCACAGGAACAACCACTTTACTGAATCCTGGGAAAAGCTCTATAGCCCCGCATGTAGACAATACAGCAGAAGCATCTAGCCTGCAAAGAGAGAGCATCTTAATCTCTCTCTTTCTCCATCTCCGACATGGCGAAGTGACAGAAAATCCTCCACCAGCTGTTTTCATTCATCATTTCCATGTAAACTGCTCTTTCTGCAAATTTCCTGTTCAAGGGGAGAACGCTTTCAGAGACATTGAAAGAAGTAAATTCTCAAACAGTGAATGAAAGACAGCATCACTATGCAAAAAACCTCGTCTCATCAAAGAACTCATCAATGGTTCAGTATTGGTACTATCGAACTATTTCTCCCTGACGTTTTAACTTTTCTCAGCTTTAATACCCTTATCTTGTTTCCTTGTGTACCTGTATACATATGGGAATATTTTTAGAAAAAAGGGGTAGAGTTTTAGGGGCAGCATGGTGGCTCAATGGTTAGCACTGCTGCCTCACAGCACCAGAGACCCACGTTCAATTCCACCCTTGGGCAACTGTGTGGAGTTTGCACATTCTCCCCATGCCAGCGTGTGTTTCCTTCCACAGTCCAAAGATGTGCAGGTTAGGTAGATTGGCCATGCTAAATTGCCCACAGTGTCCAGAGATGTGCCGGTTAGATGGATTAGCCATGGGGAATGTGGGGTTACAGGGATAAGGGAGGGAGTGCGTCTGGATGGGATGCTTTTCAGACAGTTGGCATGACTCGATGGCCTGGATGGCCTGAATTGACCTGCTTCCACACAGTAGGGATTTTTGTGAATTTTAGTTTATCGAGTTATAAGTTGGCAGTTCATGTTTCTTTTTTGCTACTGGTTAAAAACAGTTTGATTACAAGAAATAGTTATTTCTTTGTTAATGAAAACCTGCTATATGCATATGCTATTAACCTAAACTAAGCAGTTAAATAAAGTTGGGCAATTTGGTGTTTTCATCGAATTTTCAATTTTTTGCGGCTTGATTTCCAATGCCGTACCCTAGGAGATTTTGGTCAAGTAACACGTAAGAAAACTGTTTGAAGTCACACCGGTAAGAGATGATGAGCGGACAAAAAGTATTATCAATATAATCACATGTTTTGTTTTGAACAGGATTGACTAATAGAGTTATATGTATTACTTCAAATTGAACTAATATTTAAGTATTTAGATAATTATGTTTTGTTCTTCAGTTATCTTTGCCCAACCCCTCTAGTGGAATACATTGAATCTCAGTTTGTTTTTCAGTGCTATTAACATTTTAATCCAGCTTTCTTTTGCAAACCTATCTGCAGTTCTAGCTTTTACATCCTTCTTAGTTGCTTCTTTGGTTCTATTTTCACTTTCTTCTGCAAAAGCCTGATTTGAATATTTCTCCATGATTGTTTTGCTCTCAACTACAAACTCATTGTTTCATTTTAAAATATCCCCACTGCTTCCAGGACTATCCTTTTAAAATGTTTATTAATTCTCTTTGTTTTGACCACCAGTTTTCTGTTGTAATAACTCATTCTGCTGTCTTCCAATACGTTTTATAGTTCCCTGAGTGTCCCTGAGTGTCATATTTCTACATTTATCATATACCTTTTTTTAAATGTAATTTTAACTCCAACATCTTTATTTACAAACAAAACCCTGTCTTTTACTTGGCGGAATGTATTTATTATCCTCTTGTAGTTAATTATCTCCCATTGCTGGTTTACTGTTTGTTCTAGCATTTTTTGAATGAATTACTCTGTGTTAGAACCCCACTCGTCCAACTGAAATGCACTAATTTTAGCCAAGCATCTTTGTTATTGTCCTCCGTTTTTTTTTTTACACCATATTCAGAAATTATTTTCTAAAAATAAAGTGAGATAAATCACTTGAAATGCAGCATCACATTACTTTATGATACTAATGTCACAAAATTTGTTTATTTATTACTGTTGTTTGTTCTTCTTTCGTAGAAAAAGAACTTTTCTTGTAAAGATACTGTGAGTTAACCTTAAAGCAGCCATTTTTGCCATAACAGGTTTTATTGCATAAATAGAATTTATTAACTAGTGATACTACTACTTAACAATGTCAGTTTTTTGTGTATGATGGTAATTAATACACAACTTATCATGCTGTGTCCGTGGTATTTTAATGGCTAGGTATGACTTTCAAGTTGTACATTAGTCCATCATTATTATACAAAATAACTGCGTGGCTAATGGAATCTACTACTTATGTACAAATGCTAGAGCAGCTTCAAGCAAGGGCAAATGTGCAGTTAATGCACAAAAACAGAATAACAGTCTCTGGTTCACCATTTAATTGGATGAAGTTGCTATATTTGCACAGTAGATGCGTACTGAACTTTCTACAAGAAGTTCTATTTTGTCCACTTCAGCTTAAATATTCTGAGAAGTTTTAATTACTACTTGTCAACTGTCTAGAACTGCAATTAACTATTACACATTTGGAATCTTATTCCTTCAGCTTTTGATTATTATTGGAAATTTTTTTTATAAACATAATGTTCTTTGCTGTCTTCTATTTCTCTCTCATGTCTGACGTTCTCTCTCTCTTTCTGACCCCTCTGTTTACACTTTCTTCTGACTTGGATGATTAATTTCATAGTTCTTCAATCAGGTTACACTTTTAACGACTTGCCATGCAAAAGGTTTGAAGTCCCCAAAATACAAGGGTAAATGTAACTAACAGCAAATAATATTACCATGATTAGGTGAGATCATTTACATTGCCTGCTATACAAGGGTATTTGAAATTGCATTGGGCTTGATCATTTACACAATGTTACGCGAAAGAGGCAACTTAGTCCAACTGAACTCATCCACCTAGGAATTTCTACAGTGATCCACCATACCATCTGGATGCCTTTTAAATGCCTTTGCGATTTTGGCGTCCACTTGCCCATTTTGAATTTCAGCTGCTCATTGAACTTTGTTTGAATTTGCCTTTTTATGAATTATATTAGTGACCTTCTGAGCAGAGGTAAATGGCTTATCTTTATATAGTGCTCCAGCATGAACATTCTCCATTGTGTTCCCTCCCTTAATCATAGAAGCATACAGTACAAAAGCGGCTCTTTGGCCTATCAAGTCTGTCCCACCAAAAATGTACTACTACACTAGTCCTTCTTTCCTGCAATAGCCCCATAGCCCTGAATGTTATGACACCTCAAGTGTCCATTCAAGTAGTTTTTAATGGTTGTGAGATATGAAGAGAAATGTTCAGCTGTCAGGCCTCCAGGAAGGGGAATTATTGAGATACCTCACTCATTGTGCATGTGAGAATGGGTTGTGAGATTTTCTGTCTCAAGTACCCTCCCAGACTGTGCATTCCAGACCCCCATCAACTTCTGGGCGAAAAGGTTTTCCTCAAATCCCATCTTTCACTTTAAAAT